ACAATGCTGCATCAATCAACAAACTCCTCGAATTCCTCTAGCTCGCGTTCTCCTGAGGTTGCAAAGAACCATCATTTTACATCAATCGTGATGGACACGGCAATATGCAAATTGTTCGAATACCTTTGTGGGGGATGAATGTGAGCAAATGAATCAAGTGCTAGAAGTACTGGCATCCGCAGTGTAAAAGATTGAGCGAGAAGTTTTGAGAGATTTTTGAAAGTTTCGTATTGTTGCGCAAATTAACAACCTAAAAGCAGCAGTAACCATTCTTCAAAATATACACCACCACTGTTCACGACTTTCTGCCATTGTTTAGCAAGTATCGGGATCTGTTCTAAGTACCTTTGCGGCTCCTCTGAAAAAACTCTTCCTTTTTAAACTTCATCAGACGGTTCAAATCGACGACATTGAAAAAGTGTTGCCTTAATCGAAAGACTCCATAATTGGATGGAGCAACGTTTAGACTGTAAGCGGCGTGCGGATGAACTTCGACGTCCAATTTTTCAAACTTGTCTTATCGGCCGTATTTTTATCACTATCAATATTTAGTATAATCATTTTCATTACATTATCTAAACTACCGATAGAAAATGGCATAAAAATGTAGAAAAATAAATTTTACAAGTATCCTCAGAGCTTTTTGCTCAGCTTAGTAAATGTGATGAAGGCAGTGTAAAAGTCTGAAAGAGAAGAGGCGTTAAGTCATTTACGGCCATTCTATATAATTTGCAGACAAACTTTCACAAAACGCTGATGTACAGCTTTGGAACAATTCATCAATTGTAAAGCTGATAACAACTTTGAGTTCTTCATTTTTTCTACTTATTTACAAAGATTGTTCCAAGGTATACATTTGCATTGATGAACATCGCAACTGAAAGGCAACATCCATTTTCCTATTCCCTATTTTCACCTAGTCAGCAAATATAAATGAACGCTGGTGCATTTCACCTTTGTAGATCTGAATAGATAAATGTTTCGCACCGCACTTTTTTTTTGAAAAACGTATTTTTTTCTCCTTCTAAAGATTCTAGTAGTTATTCAATGGCTTCAGTCGCGAAAATTTGAGCGGTGCGCTTTAATCCTTGGATGGCCTATTTGTTGCGCTGTAACAATAGCAAAAATAAAAATTTTTTCCACACTCAAGCATATTTCGCTGGACATAGCTTTACTTTCAGTCTTTAAGTAATTATTCGATAACACAAATTCGGACGATTTCAATGGTAGTACTTTGTTCTTGAGAAAGACTTTTTATTGCGCTATAGAATCCAAAGAAATATTGAGTTTTCCACCAGGCGCGCATTCTTTATTTCGCTGTGTGGATAGGACTTCGCAACACACTGCGCTATTTGTAATATAGTGTTTATGTGCAAAATTCAATCTTCTTTTGACTGCTACATCGCGTTAAGAAGACTTTCTCAAAAACCATGTACACCACTGAAATCGCCGAGATTTGTGCGATTGAATCGTTATTGGAAGTTTGGAAGAAAAGGTGTGCCTCGCGGAAAATACTTGAGCGTAAAATAAAACTTTATTTTCAGCGTACAAAGACCATTAAAAATAACTTAAACCGTTCGAGTTTTGAGATTTATGCTATCGAATGGCTACGAAAATCTCTAGAAAGAGTAAAAAGTACGTTTTTCTGAATATGATGCAGATAGGGGAGAAACCCTAAGTAAGGAAAGTACCTTTGCATCTTTTCAGCATATGAGACAGGCCCCAACAACACTTATTCAGGTCCATTTCATATTCATACTCACTATATCCCCTTTGGAGTAACATGTAGACTCCATAGCTGGCGTCATTGCAACCAATTCACTCAGATCGATGTATACGTACTTTTGAACTGATTGCAATACTGCAACAAAAAATCCCGTCTCATGCCGATCGTTCTTATAGCATTCTGGCTGATGCACCAGAAAACAGCAGATAGTTCTGCGGAGTACCGTTAGGCAAGTCGAGGACGATGCTCGTCCTTCTACGTTCGCTAGTTTCTTTTTCTTTCGTTCAGTAATGGTCATGAGATCCCAAATAGATGAATAGGAGAAAGAATCAGGAAAGAATTATTATAACTGGCGAAACGCAGTACATAGTAACCTGAGGAAACAAAAGGCACTCGCTGTTGACAGTGGTGAGATGCCGCCTCAATCACGTATTGATGGAGAAATCACCTGCAAGAAGTTGTTTTGTACATGGTTCTAAATGATTTACATTTTTGATAGAGTTACCTGTTTACGTCGCATATTATAATATCATTTGCTCAGAACACTTAGCTCTATCGACTTGTGGAAATTTGGGTGAAAAACATTAGCATGCCCGAGAGGAAAGAATAAATCACCGTCAAAGTTGTATTAAGATGATATCCAACAAATTTACATCAAAGTTCTGCTTAGATTATAGACATAAGGGCTGGAAGTTAAGGGTTTCGAAACACAAAGAAGTTAGGAAGCAGTTTTTCTATAGTCTCTTAATGTAAATACGATGAATAACAGTGACTGTAGAGAAATGTTTCGCGGTATTACATAGTACCACTTAAAATGCTTTAGAGCGGGCTGTGGGAAATTCTCCGCTAAAGACTAATGAGGGTAACATTAGCCGGTATTTTTACAATATTATGCCTTTATTTCGATTTTATTTTGTTTTATTAAGACCACGCTTAAGTTTCAATATATCTCATATTATTTGAGCCAACGTGTTATGTGGTCCAGCAATAGGCAGGCCCCTGTACAGCTCGATACACGTGTTTCGACCTTATAGTCTCGTCAGTCTGGTAGAGCCCGTTTGTCGACTTTTCGTCCCTTGGTCCTGGTCATTCCCTCGGGAGCCCTACTTTCCCTATAAAGAGGTAAGAGACGACGAACGAATTACACTGTAAGTCAAGTGATATTTTTACCGAACATACAATGTTGTACACTCGATTGCTCTTCAGCTGGCATTTTATTATGTTATACCTTCTCCCCGAATGACGAGACTGTAAGGTCGAAACACGTGGGGCTGTAGAAGGGCTCATTACCAGACTCTATGACATGTTGGGTCAAGTAATAATTACGAGAGATGATATTAGCCCCATTATGCCCAAGCATTTTTTCGCGTGGCTCACCAGCAGCAACACATTAATTTGTGGGATTTATGAAGTTGCTGGTTTCAGGCAATAAACGATATTCTGTCTGTTATTAAAAGAAATGAGGGAATATGGACATGACAGGTTTGTAAAAAGACTTTGTCTCTGGATGAGTATCAATAGTAGGTATTCAGCTGGTTACTATGTGATTCTAAATTCCATCGTACAAACACAAAACGCTCAAAATTAAAAAGCGTTTTGCAGCTCACACTTCGTCTTTCTTGATAGGATTTAAGCACAAACGCTCAGTATTGTGGCTTCAGACACTGCAGAAATTAGAAATGAATTGATAGTCAATTAGCACTTAAATTTCTAAACGCTGAACTCGTTCGAAGGATTATTTTCTATGCATTTCTATGCTCAGAAAATAACTTTTTCGCTCATGGCTCACCAATGCGTATATCTCTCCGCGGTCAGTAAATTGGTACTAGTCTAGTCTCAGCCTTGTCTGGGAGGATAGGCAGCCCTACTCGGTTCAGCGGGAGTTTATCGCTAGTCGTTGTAAACGCCAGATATGCATTCAATCACCTCAAGCGAAGGCAAACATTGAACAAATTGAAGACGAATGCATGGCGCATCCCTCAGAGGATTGATCAACGCCCAGAGTTTTATCCTTTTGTCCTTTCTCAACGTTTCATGCCCACTGCCCAGTGTAACATCATTGTTCAATGAGCTATTGGTCGAATACAAAACATCTCACAAAAGCTCCTCTGCGTCGAGTCAAACCATTGAAATCGTGCGCTTGAAATCAATATAAATTGTCCCTGGTGTAGTTCAGCGCATATATCGCACCTAGTGCACATGGTTGATAAACGTTGAAACTGAAAAGATCTTTTGACCTCTAATAAAGGTGACTTGAACGTTGAGTTGCAGTATAACATTGAAAAATGTACTAAATATCATGTGACTGAATTCGGTACCAATAGAGACTAAGAATCACTAATGCTAAAGATGCACCGTCGAATTTAGGTCCTCTAAAGCCACAAAAAGAGCATCAAAGTTTTTTACCGCATCATGATTTACAACATTACTTTTCCGCAACTGCCGAAAGATTCAAATAGCTACTTCGTCTGCAATAGAATAAATGTGAATTTTCCTTTATAAATTCTCTACATACCATCGCCTCCGTTTACTTCTCATATCCGACACTATGCATATGGCTCAACTGACGTGTTAGGGGAAATTCTCACGAGCTATTCACAAGATAGCAATTAGCTTATGAATCAGTATTAGGCTATAAATGTCAACATTTGGATGGAATAAGAACAAATCCTTCAGGCAAGACAGATGCAAATAAATGACAACATATTACCTTTCGCTATCATTCACACAATGTCTTAGCACTCTTCACACTTTTCGAAAGTGCTACCTATGGTGTTAATGAAAATCTATTACGAAATTAGAAACGGAACTGATAAATAAGACCGCTCATCGTTTTTAGGACGTGGGATTGCCGGTGCTTTACACATTGAATGGCTTTTAAATCCACCCAACTAAAAATCAGGCGAAAAAAAAACGCTTAGGTACGTGTGATAGAGAGAGTTCGTCTTTCCGATAAAAACTGTACTCGTCTTACAAATAATCTTCAGAGTAATCCTAGAGTAGCAGAGATAATACTACACTTCATGTTCTGCATGACGTGAGCTTGCAATCATATTATGTAGAACAAATTAGTTCCTTCTTTTCTTTTTATCTGAAGTAGAGCATCAATGTATTGTGCATTCAAACCCAATAATGTAGAGTGGCGTGAAAGAACATTTGCGTAAGCGAAGATTCGAACCCAGATCTCATCCTTTTTGGGAGCGTTTGCTGAACCGTTGCACCACCTGCTGACAGATAACGCGTTGTAGCGCAGAAAGAGTGCTGTGCAAAAAGAGCGTCGGTGGTGCAGCGGTTCAGCACATGTTCCCAGAAAGAGTGAGATCTGGGTTCGAACCCCGGGTGACGCAAGTCTTTTTGCACACCATTCTACACTAATGGGTTTATTGCATCATCATGCCACCGCAATACGCTGTCTAATAAAATGAATTCTGATTGATTATTGTACAATCATAAAGTAGTGACTGGTGAAATAAACCCACGATATAGTAAGGTGCTCTATTGATGTATTTGTTCACCATCATGAATGTTGTGTTATTGAACTCAATACAAATCAGTCAATCCGCTTATTCTCTGCATAATTGATGTGGCAAGGGGTGACTAGAGCATTATAGTGATGATATTCATGTGGTTGTCGTCTCATGTCACCGAATTGACTCAAATACCAGCCATCACACTACAGTCTTCATAGTTCGCCATCGAACGAACACAGCAGGAGGAGTTCTTGCAGAGCATAAGAAGGCTTCGTCATTATCAGTAATTCCAACAACCATAGAACGTGTAATTGGGCGACGGCAATAGTGCAGCAGGTCATCGAAATCGACCGAGTTGGATTGCGGTTCCCTAACCACCTCAATTGGCTCAGATATCGTGGCACAAATATACGACTAAGCCCAGGTGTTGCAGAGCAATGCTGTTTAGGGAGGAATACGAGGTTATAGATAGCGGAGAGGTACTGTTGCAGGAATGAGAAGAGATACTGAAGAGGTAAAACAAGACACAGTCCACGTACTCTGCGTCTCCGCTGCTTCAATGCTCATTGCGGACTGCGCATGTGGAGTGAACAAGTGAAGGTGGAATTTTGGCAGGTTCCTGCCCTCTCCCTCGGCAGTTTTCCTCTCTGAACCAGTAATACTCTTAGGAGGACCTTAGCTTGGCTAGTTACGAGTCTGCGAGGAGAATCGCTCTCAACCATTCATAGAAAGACGAAATCCCTCAAGCAGTAGCCGAAGCAAGGCGTGATATATTCAAAGACCTTAGCGGGAGGGGGTAAACGCAAACAAACGAATTCAAATGCAAGAACTGCTGGAATTCGCACGGCGAATTGTGAGAAGGGATCGTGTATGATAGAATATAGTACTGTGGTCTAAGAAATCCTAGTTGTCCTTCGTGCAACCTATATCTATCATTATTAAGCACAATCAAAAGGGTGGGACTTGGTGTTGGACTAATTCATAGGGAAAGCGCTATATATTTGACTTTAACAGGATCTCTGGAGGTTATTGGAAGCGTATCTAGCCTATACTCAAAGTGGCCTACCGGCCTAGTGAATTAAATCAATTGGTATTCTTTTAGGCTAGTCTGATAAAAAATCGCCCACTCAGGGAAAATGAATGGCTCGCTGAGCCTGGAATGCTGGATCGCACTTACGACTATGTGTCTGCTGCAGTGCACATTTAACCATTGCACCACACATACAGCTCTAATGTAATTATATTATATGGCTATCCTATAATCATATGAATGTTCGGTGTTAATTGAATCCTTGAAATGGATCATGCATTTGATTTCAACCTCAACATCGCACCATTTCCTTAGTGCTCATTTGAGCTACGCAGTGACAATGCTCAATCTGATTCATCAATATTCATCTATAACCATCATAACCGATTATTTGCAAGGTTCACCACCCCTTGCAAGTGATTTGCTCCTCGTATTCGTCTTTACGAAGGTCTTCAAACACTTCACGTGTTTAATCTAAATAATTCTTTTTTTTCACCACTCTATGGCAGTGGTATGGCGCTACAAATATATACAGATGAATATAGTGCAAATATATATATATACATATGCATTATATATATATATATATATATATATATATATATATATATATGTACGCATACATATGTGCATGCATGAAGATGCATATGCATATTATATACACATATCTACAATATGCGAGGAGAGTTCTGTCAATTTTGTATTTTGATAGTTCAGAGCTTATGTTTTTCCATTTATTTCGAAAGTTTTATCGAATTTTTTGTCTAGTTTTGGTCCAAGTTGTGTTTTGCTCCAATTATCTACTTTCAGTCGTACCTGGGTTATGGATAGAAAAAGTGAACTATCAAATTAGTTGAGTTGCACAAGACGTAAACGAAACCGCCCACTTTGTTAAATTCGAGGGCTTTGAACCAACAAGTGTCCACAGAGCCGTGACGTTTCAAAGAGAATGGAGAAATTGAGGGCCGCTTTTGAAAAGGCCGCCAAAGCCACCTTAGATCCGCTGGCGAATTCGGCGAAATCCGGAGAATGGATGCTCAGAATGGCATGGAAGCTCAGGAATAGCTAGTGAAGCGTCCAAACGTTGTCAAAAACTAGCTGAAACTGCATAGTTGCAAGACCGCTCGTGCTCACTTTCCGGACAAAGAAATGAAAAGATAACGACGGTACCTATATGTTAGACGGAGGCAAATGATTTCATCAACCTTGTTCGCCCTACAAGAATGAAGGAGTGCTAGCAATCATTCAAAAACTTGAATTTCTGGCCAGCTCTATTCGCAGTTGGTTTTCGAAACTTCCTTTTATAACGGTGTGAAATTCAAAATAAAATTATGTTTTACATGACCACGCGTTCTTCTTTCATTATCCCTCTTATATTTCGCTGAGCCAAAACTCCTTTCTCATATTGCTAGCACTTTTTGCATAGCGCAAGTCTCGAAGAACCCGAATGTTCTTGCTTTGCGGAAACGCTCTTGTGATAGCGCTATAAGAGAAAGAAAAAGACTTGTGCTTTATACCTCGCTGGGCGTAGTTTTTTTCTAAAACTATTGTAATCATGCGACCCGCTCAAGTTTCAGTGATTCCAACACTGCGTTTACTTTCTGGAAGGACCGCTTCACTGCAGTGTAGCAGGGAAAATAAGATCGAGGTTCATTATTCAGTCAGACTTGTTTAGCGGTTAATCTACGGGCTGGGGAGGAGTGGTCGATCGATTTCCCAGACACGTTAGGCAGATGATGTGCAACTGGTTATTCAACTGGGAATTTTTCCTCTGCTTTCGAAGGTACTCCAGATAAAGCGCTCTACTTAAGTAATACGAGATTTCCTCTACAAGTTCATACGCCGCTTTTTGTGCTTTCTAACGAATTATATGTGTGACAAAAACGAGACGTGCGGGGAGTAGGAAACATAATTTTATTCTGAATTTTACAGTGTGATGCAAGGATCTTTTTCAAAAAGCGGCCACGTACCTCGTTAATCAGAGATCTAAGGTTCCAAAGATTATTATCGCCGTCTAACAACATGAGAATTAAAAGACCTTCAAAGTACGCCAAATGAATCGTTTGTTAGCTCTTCTCGTTATTTACCTTCTTTTCTTCTTTCTCCTCTCCTTTCACATTTCTTTTCTTGCGTTTTTTTCTGACCACATTTTGGGAGCATTATGCAGTCGGACCATACTAGGAGGTCTCCCATGTACTGATAGACATTCCATTGTCACCTACACGTGTTCTCATTGGATTTATTCTTAGAGATGAGAAACTGGACGAGATCAGAAATGATTTTGAAGGAATAGTGGACCAAAAGCAGTAAGTAGAGCCACGTGAAATGACAAATATTGCAGCAATAAATGATGTTCATAGCTTAAATTGATGGAAAAAAATATATTGAGGTTACTCGTTAAAGTGACACTATATTGCAATCTTCAAAATATTTATGGACAAAACAAGCCTTGATTGTAGTTGTTTTCGCATTGCATGGCCTTGTCATTTTTTTTGAGTTACAGCCTCTAGCTTCCTAGAAAGTGGTTGCCCGTACACATGCAGTATTCTTCTTTGCCTTCATCCCACTCTCAATGTTCTCACGCTCTCACTCAGCTACTGTAACGGACGACATTCTGGCCCGTGGAAAAGAAGGCGTTTGTGGGAAGGCAGGCGCAGAGAGCACAGATATCCTAGCGCACACACGCAGAAACCGCCCTTGCGAGTGCCGCGAAAGCGACGATTGACGCCGCCCTTTCAGCGCTGATCCTCAAAGGGCCAAAACATTGAAAAAATATTCCTGCTCGTTATGGTGAAATCGTAGAAATGAAACAACTTTATTGGATGCCAAACGTAATCGGAAGTCAGACGATCACTCTTCGCGTTCTTAGCAGTACTACAGAAGCAATAATGCAAACGACGACCATAATTGGTATTTTTGGTTTTCAATGCTAAGCAGTCAGTCTCCTACAAATTCATCGTAGTAGTTCTTGCATATTCTCAAACATACAACTTATTCACATTCAATTACTTCCATTTCATCCATGCTCAAGGAATCTACAAATGAATAGAATTCAAATAATATGTTATTAGGTTCGTTCAGATGTTGCATATAGTGAAAGAGGAAGGTTCGTGTTCGCTCGTCTATGTACGAAAGATTCCGATAACCACCTGCAAAGAATGCGTCTAGTTGATCTGTTGGTAGGAAAAATATAATTACTCGACTTTACCTCTCGGCGTATGGCCATTTGATATCGAGATAGGTGAGACGAAAGTGGAACAGTACAACGATAAGTCTGCAACCTATAGTTTAAGGCACAAAATAAATTTCAAGCCTTGTTTCTTTGTAATCAAAAAAGTTCTTTAAAAAGATTTTCCTTCTGGACAAAGACTTTTCGCTGGACTTTTGGTAGTAATTTAAAATCATGAATCTTGAGATTTAAAAGTATACTTGATTTTTGGAAAAACCTCCTCGTGATGCACCTATTTTTTGTAAGAGAAAGCTCTATCTTTGAACTAGCAATAATCGATCGTAAGAGAAGATTTCGATAATATGCTATGCCTTTGGAAAAGCCTCTTCACGGCGCGCTGTAGGAGAAAAATTTTAAAATGTGTTTCCTACGCGTCGCGCGTTACTGCGCGTATTTTTCACAGGGCAAAGCTCTTCCCTCGAACTAGTAGTAACCACTCGATAGCGCCAAATCTTTAGATTATAGCAATTTACCTGCTCTAAAAGAACACCTTTTACAGCTCTACTGCAGACAAAATGAGATTGTGTTTCACTCGCGCCGCGGGATTATCGCGTATTTTCGTTGTCTCAAAACTTTTATCCTTTATGTAGATATTTCTAAGTTTTCGTACCAAAGTTG